GGAACGTCGAAGAGTTTTGGGCATTGCTTTCTTTTTATCCCTTGTCTCGATTAGGATTTTTTCTAATGCGTCTCCAAAAAGTTTCTCACCCTGGAATGGGTAGGCCAAAACAATATTTTTAGAATGAAGGTCCGCTGGCCAGGCCCTGAGCCAGAATAGTCGCCTTGCCACCGCTGCCGAGGCCATCGCTCTAGAGTTGAAGGTGAGAACATCCAAGGATTCATCAGCCATGAACATAGTAGCTTTGAGAACTCTGGAGGCCCCTTCCAGAAGACGTTTTGTTATTTTCTGGTAGAAGTTGTATCATCTTTCGCATCCATACAATGGAAGCCCGCGAGACGATGGAAGAAATGGCTGAAGCCTGCATGGCTAAGGCTAAGGTCTCATGTCCCTTCCGTAAAGCCGCCTCTCCCTTCTTATCGAAGTTGTCTCTGACAGAGCCTTGGCCATCCTCTGAGAGGAGACCCAAGTACTGTAGGGCTGCTACTGGAGCGTCCACTGCTGGTACCTGTAACATCTCATGTACAAATTCAGGCATAGTATACAGTCTCTTAACAACTTGAGGAAACTGGTGGTTGGCCATTGGTTTGACCCATTCCGCCCGCATTTGTCTCTCAAAATACTCTGGGAGAGGATAAACATTGGGCGTGGAGACCTGTTTGGGGAAGAACTCCTGTATGCCTTCCGTACTGGATTTAGCCAATCTGGGCCTATTTTGTGTTTCCCCAGTAGGGCTTTCATGAAGCTGGAGGGCAGCCAGTGTTTTTGATAATAAGTACTGGTAGTCCTCTGTCTTAAACAGGCGGGTGGATGGTTCTGGAACAAAAACCTCCTCCTCCTCTTCATCAGAGAGGAATTCTCTGTCATCCGTGATCTCTGACTCAGGATCAATTGGGAGTCCGTCCATCCCCCCCGACTGGATCTGTATCCCCACTCCTATCTATAGGTCTTTTTTGGGCAGCCTTAGTTGGCCAGTGTTTGCTATGAGACATAGACGGGAGAGGCCTTCTAGGCGAAGGGGGGGGGAGAGGAGGAGTCAGAGTCTGGCCTCATGGAAGCAAAAACAGGAGGACAACTAAGAGTGTACATTTCATCTCTGACCGCCTGTCGCATTAGCCCCAGTAAGTCAATAGGCGTGTTATAATGCGATTGTACGTTACCAATTAGAAGAGAACCGGCTGGGGCGGGCAGGGCCTGAACGCGGAGCGAACAGCCTGCAGCGAGATCTCCAGGCGGGAGATTGGTAACATCGTGTTGACAGGCTGCTTCGGAGCCGAGTAGACTCCCGGCCTGTTTTCCCGCCGAAATTGCGTCGTGGGGGGTGTAGCTGTCCGGCCTGTAGGCGACCGAGCTGTCTTCAGGCCTTTGCACTGAAATGCAGCGCTTTTCTGCGGCGCTACGGCCAACGTGTCGCCGGCAGCACGCCCAAGCCATATAGGCATGCCGGTGCCCCCCCCCCCGGGCGATCCAAGCAGCCCGGTAGCCGCTGCGCAGT